AACGGAGTGACCCCAATCACCCACTGCAGGGCATCTAGCCCCTTCTCTGGGCGCCTTCCACGTGCTTCCGGAAGGCGTCGCCTGGCTCTCCAGGGATCTGGACTCTCAGCCTATCACACTAGTGCCTCTTAGATGACGCCATGTTTACTGTGACCCAAGGTGCCCCACCCCCCAGAGGCCACAGACTGTGGGGAACTGGTGGCCGCTCAAGCTGCCCACACCCTGCTAAGGTATCCCCAGGAGATACAGGGATCCATCTGTCCCTTGTCCCAACACCTTCCCTGCTCCATGTACAAGTTGTGAGGCATATCCCTCCCAATAGCCCCAGCCGCCCCATGGCTTTTCCACTCAGCTGCTCTCAACTTAGACCACCATTTCAGAGAAAACCCAACCCTCGCTGGGCACTGACCACGTGCTCTGTTCCATGCACCTCATGGCCTCTCGTGGACAGGCGAGGCCTCCAGGTACAGGACCTGGCCCTAGGTGGATCACAGATGCTAAGACATCCTGTGATTTACCCTGGACAGGTCCAAGTCCAAAAAGACCCACCCGTGTCAGCCTGTCAAACTGTCCAGTTCAAGGTCGACACCAAGCTAGCCCAGGGCAGGGCCTACGCTGGGTTTGCCCAATTAGCCGCAGTGGTCAGCACCACGTCCACATCTCCCTGCAACCTGTGTACACCACAGTGCCTGGGCCCCTGCAGTCTTCCAGACAACACCCCAAAAAAAGTCATGCTGACCCCTTCTCAACCCCAGACCCCAAAATCTTTGGGGACAAATGATCACCAAGGCTGTGTGGGCCCTGAGTTCTAGACACCCAGCACGTGGCCATGATGGGAATTCTGCCCCAAACACAAGCTCCTCCCACAACCTAGGAAGCGCCTCATGAAATACGAGTTTTTCTCTTTTTGAAAAAAATGTTCCCCCAATAGTTTTGTGCTGTAATTGTTCTTGGAAAGTTCTTGTGAATGTGTCCATCGCAACACACCCAGAGTCAGTCTGTGTTCATTCACGCGGCACTGGTCATGTGGAGCCCCAGAGTCTGTCTGTGTTCATTCACGCGGCACTGGTCACGTGGAGCCTTTGGACAGAGTGGCTCCCAAGGACAGTGTCCTAGGGGACGCGGAGCTGGCCAGGCTCGCACTCTTGTGGAAACCAGTACACACCGGAGTTTTGCCTTGCACTGTGTTGTCCTTTCCTGGGTAGGTGGATCCCCTGTGCTTCAGTCTTGGGATCATGTAGGTACCTCCAAAACACCTTACTCTGGGCAACCAGCCCCCTGCACTGGCCGGCTGGCTCACCGGAGAGAGGAGGCCGAGCCCTTTGACCACTGGGTCCCTTGCTTCCAGGAGTGACAGGCTGGTGACCCTAGCAAGGTCAGCCCCGAGCTGGTGACAGCAGGACACAAGCTTCCAGACACAACAGAATAGATGCTCTTGTCCCTGGTACCTGACAGGCACCTCAGGGCTTTGTCTGCACCGCGGTGAGCGCAAATGTCGGCTCTCCTAGGGGTTTGGGGGGAGTTTGTATCCCAGAAGTGACTCTGTCCATGGAGAGCTTTTCAGGGTGGAACTGGGAATTGGCTCCTGGGGTGGCCAGTTCCTTACAGGACACCCCAACCACTGCTCGGGGGCCAGGTCCACACATCTGAGACAGCCCAGACCCCCTAGTCCAGGAAGGGAGCCCTGGGGGACCTCCAGTGGGGACAGAGGTGACATCTTAGTCCCTTCTCTGGCTGCTGTGACAAAACCAACCAGCAAAAGCGACCAAAGGCTGGAAGGGTTTGATGTGGCTCACGGAATGCAGCCAGGCATGCAGGAAGGCCTGGTGGCAGGCAGGAGCATGAGGTGGCATCTGGGCTCTCAGCTGGCTTCCTCTGGCTTTACACTGAGTGTGTGCGTTTGTGAGTTTGTGCACAAGTGTGCATGTGGTGTGTGAAGGTTCAAGGAGTCAGTCTCTCATCCTCATATGGGTGTCAGGAATTAAACTTTGGTCATCAGGCCTGGCAGCAAGCACCCTTACCCACTGAGCCATCTCGCCGGCCCATTTCACACAGAACTCTCCAGACTGTCCAGCAGGACCCCGCACAGCCCTTCACTCCTCCTGGGGAACAGGCTCGGACCATCCTGTCTCCCACTGAAGCCTCAAGCTCCCAGCCTCTCCCAGCCGGAGAGATGACACCCTGGTGCTGAAGACAGGTCACATTGGAGTCCACGTCCCATCAGGTCCCAGGCTAGGACCTCATACAGAAAGCCTCCGGGAGGCCCTGTGAGCACAGCAGGCTGAACACCATTTCCGTGCTGTCCCAAGAAGGACAGGCTCACTGGAATGAAGATACAATGGCTGGGACACCAACAGCCACCTTGGGCCTCCAGACAGAAGTTTCTTGGTAGGGATAGGACAGAAGCCTGGCTCTTCTGTGTCTTAGTTACTGTTTGGTCACTCGGAGACACCATGACAAAGGCAGCTTTAAAAAGAAAGCATCAGATGCCTTTAATCCAAGCACTCAGGAGGCAAAGACAGGTGGATCTCTGTGAGGTCGAGGTCAGCCTGGTCTACAAGAGCTAATTCCAGAACAGGCTCCAAGGCTACAGAGAAACCCTGTCTCGAAGAAAAGAAAAAACTTGTTGCATAATAAACGAGATGCCCACTCCCGGGGAGACATTCCCTTCCTGAAGCATGCCCTTGCACCTGGTTCTCCTCCCATCTCTGGCTGGTGTGTGTCTCCATTCTGGGTCCGGCTCCAGGCCCTGCCCCACCCCCTTTAGGGATAGGGGTATCCATTCTCAAGAATGCTGGGCTTGCCAGCACCTGGCCCTCAGCAGCAGCACACAGAAATTCAGAAATGCAAGAGATTCTTGGAGTAGTGACAGGGGTGGGGTGGCACAGGTGTGGCAGGTGAGATCTCGGCTTTGCCATTCAGACACTCTCACAGGACAGGCAGCTCGGCATCAGCCTTCAGGCATTCGAGGCCTAACCTTCAACCAAGTGTCTCCCCTTCCCTGTTTTCTGGGGCAAGTTCACAGGGAGTTTAGAGCACTAATTGGCCCCGGATGGTGTGTGATGTGGAAGCCACAGGAGGACGTTGGAGGAGGTCTCTTGCTGAAACTGGAAGTAGGTGACGCCCACTGAGCCCCCCACCCCCACCCTGCACTGTCTCTGTCCCTGTGGTGCTGGAATTATCAGTGCATGCAACTGGCTGCAGCTTTTATCTTCAAAGAGAGGGACTCACTATGTGACTGAACTATGTAGCTCAGGCTGGCCTCAAACTCCCAGAGCGCTACCAGCCCCTGCCTCCCGAGTGCTGGTCTTAAAGGCTGTGTAGCAGCAGATTTCCTTGAGTTCCTGACCTCCTGCCCCCACTTAGCACTGTGTGGCTGTCATACTGTAAGTGGTGCTAGGGGTTGAACCTGGACTTCATGCTTGCCAGTCAAAGGTCTCCCCACTGCGCCCCAACCCCTTCATCATTTATCTTAATTGGTACTTTATCCAGGGGAGCTTCCTGGGGGTCCCCAAGCCCAATGAGGAACACTTCCATGCCTTACGGTGTTCTCCACCCAGGATTCCCAGCTCTTGTGTGCATTGCTCTACAGTCATATCTCCCAATCCCGTCACCCTGCACTTAGCCAGCACTGGAGGGGAGGAGGTACCAGGAGACGGTGGTCTCTCTTCACAGTGGAATTAAGGTGGGCTGCTCAGTGGGTAGAATGTCTGAGCCCTGGAGGCCCAGAGCTCAGGCACATGGCCTGTCAACCCAGCACTCCGCAGGTGGAGGCAGAAAGATTAGGAGTTCAAGACCATTCTCAACTCCAGAGGTTTGAGGCCAGTCTGGGCTACGAGAGACCTGTCTGAAAAAAAGAAAAGCAAACTGGGCATGGTGGTACATGCCTTGAGGGGGTCTAATCCCTGCGAGTTCCAGGCCAAGCCAGGACTACACACCGAGACCCTGTCTCAAGAGAGAATGACAGCCATGCAGAACAGCGGTCTCGGGTTTGAGCGTGACAGAAGCTGGGGGTGACAGAATGGTGAGTGGTGATCGTGTATGGAGTCAGAGGACAGCTCTATGGAGCTGGCTCTCTCCATCTTCACAGGTCTGGTCTGGGGATCCCGCCGTTCTCGTTCTTGGCTGTGGGCTCCCTGTATACCCTTCTGGCACCCTCAGCTTTTCGGGAAAAGAGACTGTTGCTTCCTACAGCGCAGCACCCTCCCCCAAAGCCTACGCCTGCCCCACAAACAAGCCAGTGGCTCTTGCAGTCATCCCCCATGACATGGATGTCAGCAATCACGCTGAGGCTGAACCCAGCTCCCCAGATACCCCACAGCCCCACACAGCAGCAGTAACCTCCCTGTGCTCCCTCATGGGGACATGAGATGTGGACAGCTGGCGGGAGTGGGGAAGAGCCATCCTCCGGGCCCTGCCTTGAGCACTGTGTGGCTCTGGGCAGGTGTCCACTGCTCTCTGGACTACCAAGGGAGCATACAAGGGACATACCCTCTTTTAGTGTGGGGTCTGAGTGGAGAAGAAAACCCCACTTCTTAAAAGGCCTCCTAACATATCCAGTCCCAGGTGTAGCTCAGGCTAGCCTTGAAATTCTGATACTCCTGATTCCTTCCACCTCCTCAGCACTAGGTTTACAGCCGTGAATCACCACGCGTGCTTCATGTAGCACTGTGAGTGGAGCCCAGGGCCTTGTGTGTAGCAACTGAGCCCAAGCTACTGAGCCCTAAGTACTTTACCAACTGAACCCCAACACCCCACCCTACTGAGGTACAGTCCAACCCCTATGTCCTCATTTCTTTTAGACAGGGCTGTCCTTTGTGGCCCCGAATGACCTCCATCTACCCTGTTCCAGCCTCCTGAATGCAGTTCAGTGTCAACCCTGACGCCGACACTTAGGTTCTGAGGTTCCCAGCTGAACTCCAAAGACATCTGGCAACTGCCAGGTCCTCCTGGCCTCACCGTGCAGTCTGAGCAGCACACACAGCAGAGATCAAATCGCTTTAATTGGGGGCAGCTCCCGGGTCCAGCCTGGGTCCTGTGGCAGTGGGGCGAGCAGGGCCAGCCAGGCCCGCGGTCTGCCTGTGTCTGCCACCTGGTTTCCCTTTCTTGGTGGATGCGGTAGTCTTCTTCCCCAACTGATCGGACTGCAGGCCAGGGGTCACCACGTCAGTGACAGGGACCCCCACATGGGGCAGCGGCTCATCATCTAGGGCCTTGAAGCTGAAAACATAATCCACACTCGCCACGGCATCCAAGACCTCGGGGACGCCATAGTCGAAGGACAGTAGCTCATCTGGCAGGTGCAGGGAGCGGATGTCAGCTGTGCAGTCGTCCCCACCGCCACCACTGTCTCGTGGGCCAGGCCCAGAGCCCCTGTGCAGGGCTGCCTCCGACTCAGTGCCACCAGGGAGACAATCGAAAAGTTTCATGGCATCTTCTAGAAGGACTTTGTCCGGAAGGAAGAACGCACGGGCCACCTCGGGAGGCATGGTCTCACCTGAGCCCACTGGGGTGACATCCTCCGCCCCGACCACCTTGGGCTCCACAGGCCCAGGAGGGAACTGCAGACCCGGCCTGGCCACAGCATTGCCCTGCAGCTCCCTGGGGGCTTCGATGGGCCTCACAGTCACCTGGGGCCCTGGGAACTGGCTGGCATGGCCACTGAGATGGCCATAGGGTCCAGGGGGCAGCGCGTGTGCTGTGGGGACAGTGATGAGCAAGGAAGACGGCTTAGTCTCTTTGGGGGTTGGTAGGGGTGCCAGGCCGTCTCTAAGCATCTCCATGAAATTGAGGGGCCCTCCATCCCCCACAAAGCCCAGTGCCTCGGGACCAGGCTCTTCAGGTGGAAGGTAGTGTGTGAGGTACTGCGGCCCGCTAGGAGCCGGCTGGTAGTGGGGGTAGAGAGGAGGCGGAGGCCCTGGGGCCTTGAGGTAGGATGGGGCCTCCAGCACATAGCCACCAGACAAGGTGGGACCCCCAGCCACTGCCACCTTGTACAGAGATGACTGGCCAAAGTCAGAGGGGGCCCACTCAATTCGGTAGATGCGAGGGTCGAAGAAGCAGCCACAGGGAGCCATCTGGAAACCTGTAGGTGGTAGACACTCTGAGAGGAGTGTCCATGGGGAAACCAGGCCACGGCATAGGGGGTAGAATGACCAAGACCCAGGCACAGAGGACACAGCCCTCACCTCGAAAGTGCCTTGAATATATACTGGCTTTGTTCAGTAGTCATCTGGGGACTCGTGGGGGCAAGGCACTCAGAGACTGTTGGGGAGACTCCTATTCTCAGGGGAGCCGCGACCTGAGCTTGTGAGTGGCTGGGCCTTGTGGAGAGCCTTACCTAGTGGCCACTGTTGTCACCAAAGCAAGCTTCGGCCTGGTCTCTAGTGTCACCTCAAACCGTGGCACATGGGTTAGTATAGGGGGATCTGTCTGGGGTACAGAGGCGGCCCAAGGTCTCATCGGGGCCCTGGCCAGTACCTGCTGGAGGCCCTGAAAGCGCATCCTGGTCTGCAGGAGTCTGATAGAGCAAGCTGGCGCTGGCTGTGAACAAAGGCAGCTGGTGGGTGGGGCGGAGCCAGGCCCCAGGGCCATCATACACCCCGCCCACCACTACCATCATACCTATGGTGGGAAGGGGCTCTGGGATAGCTGGCACCTCAGTGCCCTCCAGGCCCCGTGGGCCGAAGCCTTCCTGGGGTATGGCTGGGGGGTAAAGGGTTTTGGGTTGCTGCATGGGGGAGACAGGCCACCCCGGGGCGGGGGGCGCCGGGTGGCAGCAGAGGCACCTTGGGGACAGAGTCCCACTGGGTTCTGTTTGCCCTGTTGCTAGGTGGAGGTTCCGGTTCAGGGTGGGCACACCACCTAGGTTCCAGGGTGGGGGTGGACAGGACAGTGACTCCCTCCACTCCCTGGGCAGACACACCCTGGGTCAGGTCACCCCAATTCACAGCTACAAGGGCACTGGCCAGCAAAACAGGATAACCAGGAGTCAGAAACAGGGCAGACAGGGACCTGCAGGAAGAGGGAAGGACGCTGCCCCAGACATGTAAAGAAAGCTGAGCATGGTGGCGGGTGCCTGCCCAGGGTTCCAGGTGTTCAAGGCCACCCTAGGAAACATGAAGCTTTATCGCAAAAACACAATACAGAAAAACAAGTTGTAGAAGAATAAAATTTATTGTCTCAGTCAGCTACTTGTAGGCATTGGCTTTGTGTTTGGGCAGGAAGGCGAAGCCTGGTGGGACTGGTCCAAGCAGCATCTCACTGTGAGGAGGGTGACAGACAGGTCAGGCCCAGGCCTCCTAGCATCACCCGCAGAACCCTGGCCAGTAGGTACCTGATGCGAATCCAGTCTGCGGCCTGTTGGCTGGCCATGAGTGTCTCCAGGTGGTCACGGCCTAGGTAGTAAGGTGGCCTCTCATTGATCCTCTGTGGGAGTCGCTCAAGCAGGCCCACGGGCACATACCTGCAGGCCAGGGAGGACAGAGGAGGCCATAGGCTGGGAAGGCCTGAGCCTGTGACCTCCAGCCTGAGCCCGCTCCCTGGCTGACGCCCACCTGCAAAGGAAGGAGAGCCACTCGAGAAGGAAGCGCCGGGTCCGCTCCACGCCTTGTGTGTCGGAGCCCCAGTGTTCCAGGCCATAGTGTGTGAAGTCCCTCAGGATGTCCAGGCGCTCAGAGGACGAGATGTCCCAGTGCCTCTGTTCCTTGATCTCCGTGAATAGCCAGGGCTTGAGCAAGGCGCCACTGTGAAGGGACACGGTCAGTGGGGACCTGCTGCCTCCTGCCAGCCACCTCAGCACCCGCCTCGTCCACCCAGCAACCCCAGGTGTAGAAACTTCAAGCATCCCTATCCAAGCTCGGCTATCACTCACCGGGCAATCATGACCCCTGCGACCCCTGTCTGCATGGCACAGTTGGCGTCCTCGAACGAAAGGATATCTCCATTTCCTTAAGAGACAAAGGGGGGGTCTTGGCAGTGGCAAGCCCATGGTGCTGGGAAAGCCATCAGTATTGGGGTTTCCCAGGGACCCAATGTGCCCCCCGTCTTCCTAGCTGAGAGACACAGCAGGGTGAGTGGCTCTGGAAGCTCTGGGCACCTACCGAACAGGGGCATAGGGCTGGCCACCTTGGCACACTGCTCGATGTAAGGCCAGTCAGCCAGCCTGGTGTAGCGCTGCTCCCGGGAGCGGCCATGGAGCTGGGAGGGAGGCGCCATGATGAGGAGGGAAGGTGGAGGAGCCGAGTGCGGGGGGGTGGCAAGGGAGACAGCAAGGAACCAAAGAGAGACAGAGAGCAAGGGACCAGGAGACCCATAATGACTCCATGACAGGACCACACTGCCCAACACCCACCGTGACCAGTGCGACACCCCAGTCCCGTAGCTCAGGCAGCAGACGGTGCGCTAGGCTCACACGCTCCTGGACACCTGTGCGCATCTTCACAGTCAAAGGCACATCCAGCACCTGTGGGCACAAGAGCAGAGAGAGAGCACACAGCAGAACCGTGGAGGGGTGGGGATGGGGGGCGTATCCTGAAGAGCCCAGGTTACCTCATTCACGCCCCGCACAATCTGCTGGAACTTGGCTGAGCGATTCATGAGTGCACAGCCGCCACCCTGTGGGACATGGACACCCTGGTGACTCCCTGAGAAACGCAGACTCTCCCGAAGGGCACCCATACATAGCTGAATCGCCTGCCATCTGGCTCAGTGTGCTTCATGTCCAGATAAGGACAGGAGGACAGGGTCCTCAGCTTAGGCCACACCCTCCCCGGCTCATCACCTTCTTGTAGACAAGGTCGATGGGGCAGCCCACATTGATGTCCACAAAGTCCACGTCAATGGTGCGGTTCAGGAGTTCAGCACATTTGGTCATGGTGTCAGGGAAGGCACCCTCCAGCTGCCCCAGGCAAAGTGTGGTTAGTGACCAGCCCACTGGGGTCATCACACAGCCCATGGACACCATGCTGGGGAGGTATTGTTTTTCCAACATGGCAGCGCCTTCCAACCTCCCTCAGGACAAACACTGACTTGCACTCCAAAGATGTCCTCACAGGGGTGGCGCTTGAGCAAGGCCCACTCGGACATCTGTCCCTGCAAGAGGTTCGTGCACACGGCCATCTCACCGCAGGTCACATCCGCACCGAAGCGCTTGCAGATGCGGCGAAAGGGTAGGTTCCCACACTGGCCAGGACAGGGGCAGGTTCAGGCCTCAGAAGTCAGCAAAGCCGGGACACCAGTCACCAGCAATGCCCCGAGAACCCCTGAGCCGCCCCCCGCACCACCTCCTACCGTGGTGAGCGGAGCAAGGTACAGCTTTCCGCTAATGTCCAGCTGGAGGGGAGGAGAATGTCAGGTGGAGTCAGGCCTCCCCGTACCGTTCACAACGATGTTCCCTCCACACCCGGGCCTCCTGCTACTGTTCCCTCTGTGCACACCATGTCCGTGTCTCTCAGGAGATAAGTTTGCCAGCGCCCAGGCTCCTATACTGGAGGGCTCTATTCAACCTTTAAAATCCCAGTCTCAATGGCCTCCCTTCAGGAGCCTTCCATGCTGTTCCCTTCACCCCTAGCCCTGATCGGCCGGCCGGACCTGTTCAGGTTCCGTTCTGAGACAGGACTATGGACAGTCCGGGAGCCCAGCTCCCATGCCTGCATCCTTACCCGCTTCTTCTCACAGGGTCGCAGCCGAATGATGTCCTCGTCTGTCAAGGGGCCACAGGTGGACACAGGGCTGCCATGTGGGGTGCTGACCCCTCCCGCAGTGTCCAGCTGGGCATGGCAACTATTCTGCTCTGGAGTAACCATGGCTACAGAGGTTTCAGGGATGGCCATGGGCATGGGGCCCTGGGTGAGGCGGCGCAGGGCCTGCTCGGCCCGCTCGAAGCACACTTGGCGCTTCCTCAGCTGCTGCTGCAGGGCTCTGTTGAGGCCATTGCGCACTGGAGGGAGGTCCGCACAGCGAGCCACTACCTCCTCTTGCACCAGGTTCTGGCCCTCGGGCCCAAGGTGTGCCCCGGCAAAGCGACAGGTCACGCTGTAAGGACACCGGCCGAAGGTGTCAAAGAGCACGCAGCGGGGGCCCAAGTCTGCTGGCTTGGCCTCCAGGTAGCGCCCTACATCATGCAGGAAGCGGCACCGGTCACCAAATGTACATGTGGCCGACTCCTGTGAGGGACATGAGGGAAGGGGAGGGGCCGGAAGAGAAGAAAGTGGCCAGGGTGGTTGCGAGGGATTATTCTCCCAGCTGTGTATGTGAGCAACCCCAGCAAGCCTGTGTCGCCAGCTCTAAAGCTGGAACCATCTCAGGCTCACATGAGCTGGAGATCACATCAGCTCAGCAGTGACCAAGAGCCCCGGCTGCCATTCCCACACAGTGTAGTGACTCACAACAGTCTCTAACTCTGGTACCAGGGTGGCCAAAGCCCTCTTTAAAGGACAGGTAAGTAAAATTAGGTCTCTTTGGACACAGCATCATGGTAAACTCGAAACAGATTAATCAGACCAGCACGGGCCACAGAAGACACAAAAAGGCCAGTGTGGCCTCAGATGCCAGCACAGCAGCAGGCAGGCTAAGGGTAGTAGGAGTTCTGTGCCTGTGAGAAGGCGAGATGCCAAGGGCCGTGTGCATGTCCCAGCACAGCAACAGCAGGCTTTGAGATGACAGGCCCATGGCGCACCCTCAGGCCCCCTCTCACCTGAAGGAGGGACGGGCAAAGCCGCTCCTTGTCATAGTGCGTTGGCTTCACATGGGGCCGGCTTTTGTTTTGGCCTCGGGCCCTCTTGGGCACCTGTCGTTGCTCGAGGGGCTCAGCTGCCTCCTCTGTCTTCCCGTTCTCCTGCCCATCTTCCAGGCATATCCTCTTGGCCTTGGGCTCAGCCGGATCACTGTCATCAGGGTCTCCGGCAGGCGTTTCTTGGAACACATCCTCCGGCTTGTCTGCGTCCAGGTATTGGTGGAACTGTTCCTTGGTGGTGCGGTACCTGCCAGAGAGGGAGAGGTTTGGTCGGCATAGGGAAAGAGGCCTGGCGACCAATGTCCTCGCTCAAACGCTTCTATAGACCAGAGGCTCGCTGCTTAGGTCAGCTCTCATCCTGGGACACCCCAGCGACTGAGGGACACCTATTTGTGTCTCTATTCAGAGAATTGCACTAAAACAGGTTGTAATGTACAAACACCAACAAATCACGTTAGACTACAGAGAAACTACAAGTTCCAGAACGCTTGGCCGTTAGACTCAAGCGGCCACGCTTCCCAGGAAGCCTTTCGGCCCGCTTAGAGACGCAGTCTATAACCGCATCGGGAAGTGGCAATGCAGCGCGTCATATTTTTTTTTTTGCCCGCGACCGGAAACTACAAGCCCCAGCATGCACCGCTGGCCTCGAGTCTGCGTCCTCACGCTGCGCACGCTCACAGCCGTCTCTAAGGCGTGTGACAGCCGACAACGTGTTACTCTCCATCGAGACAGTGGGGCCACCGGGCTGTCCCTCTCCAGGACGTCGCCACACCTCCCGGCATGCACCGCGTTCATCGCGCTACGGACGCCGGGAAGGCCCCATCAGCTTCGCCGTCCCACACCAGCGACTCACTGAGCTTTAATGGGCGCTACGCCCCGTTCGCACGCGCCGACTCCGGAGTCACCACCACCACCACCACTCTCGGCTGCCGCTTCTGCATCCTCTGCCATCGACGCCCCTCACGGCAGTTCTGGAGTGTGGCACGAAAGTCTTCCGGGTCGCGCGTGTCCGCCAAAGCCTACTGAGCTAGTGCGCATGCTCAGACTGCACCAATGGCGCTAAGGGGCGCGTGCGCAGGCCGCCCAGGGGGCGGGGCCTCGACTCGTTGGCTCGCGCAGGAACCGGAAGTGCCCGAGGGTTCCCGTGGGGTTCGCACACCGGTCACCGGTGGATCTCGAACTCACAGATATCTTCCTGCCTCTGTCCCCGGAGTGTTCGGAGTAAAGACGGGCGCCACTGTCGCCTTTTGAAAGTGACATTTCCTTTCTCCCGTGTGTCACGTGTGTATGGTGGGCTGCAGCAGGCGTTCCTCCCCACTGATCTCGGATGGAGCCCACTGAGCACGAGGCCCCGTCCCCCCCTCATCCGGACACTTGGGGGGGGGGGTGGAGGCAGCAGGATCGGGAGTTGAAAGGTCATCCCGGGTTCGGTAGTGTTCGAGACCAGCCAGAGCTACACGTCTCAAAAACCGAAGCCAAGTCCAACAAGTCAATAGGTATACTCATTTAATTCTTGGAGTCAGGGGGTCTCCACTCTAACCCAGGCTGGCCCTCAACGCACAAAACAGACACAAGGGGAAACTGAGACCCAGAGAGAGAAAGGCATTAATAAGCCTGAGACCTCGGTGGTGGCCTGTTGCTCTCTGCCTCTCCCTGCAGGACGACATGGGGATAACACGATGCGCGTGGAAAGGCTGGGGCTCCTTGTAGTGTCCCTTGGATTGCGACGAGGATGCAGTGGGGGAAACAGGCCCGCAGAGGGCGACCCCTCCTTCCGCGCAAGGCAGCCCGCGGCCGCGGTACGGTACCGACGTTAACCGCGGCGACTGCGCCGTTGGCGAGCGCTTACCGCGTACCAGGCCTCGACTTCCTACCCTGGCCGGAGCCGCCATCGCCGCCCCGCCCCGCCCCGTCCCGCAGCACGGCCAGAGTCCTCACCACCCCTCGCTTACGGTGTTCCCTTCTCTAGGGACACCGCACACCCGCCCCTTTCAACCTGGCAGTTTCCGCACCCCGGCGTCGCCTTCGGGGAGTCCGTGTTCCCTGAACAGTGGGATCCGGATAATCCCCCGGAACTGTGGCAAGCCGTGCCCAGGCCTGAACTCTGCTCACACCGAGGAACTAGGGGGCCAAGAGGGAGACTGAGGCACCAAGTGGGCGCAGGGAAGACTCCGGGTCCCAGCTGCTGCGTCCTTCCACCTTCCTCTCTGCCTGTCCTATTCTTCCTGTTTAGCCTCAGTGGTTTTCTTTCTTTTCTTTTCTTTTTTTTTTTTTTTGAAGGTAAGGTCTCACGTAGCCAGTGCTACCTGTGGCTGAAAATGACTTTGAACTTCTGATCCTTCGGCCTCCACTTCGAGTGTGTCTGATCCATGCCTGGCATTCTCTTATTTTTGTCTTTTGTGACAAAGGCTCACTTTCTGTCCCACGGCAACCCCAAACTCAGGGCAGTCCCCCTGTCCGCTTCTGGCTCCCTCCTTTTCTGTCTCTCTCCAGGTCTGTGCCTGCCTGAGTTCCCCCGCCCCTCCCCCCAGGTCTAGCAGGTGCAGCCCCGGGCCGAGTGCCCACGGCTGGCCTCCCGGATTTGTGTGGCAGCGATTCTTTTATCTGAGTCTGCAGCTGGGTCCTTATCTCGGGGCTGCAGGTCGGGAGCAGGGGGATTAAAGCAGCAGTGGCCAAGCCGGCGGCGGAGAGCCCGCGAACCGTGCAAGTGTGCGCGTGCGCAGAACGGCCCGCCCGGGAGCAGGCCCGCCTCAGCCCCGCCCCTTTCCCCCGCTCCCTCCGCGGGAGTCCTCGCTGCCCAGGTGGCCGGCCTGATGCGTTTCCCACCTTCCTGACCCCGGACCCGTGGGGACCGGGCCTTGACCTCTGACCCTGGGCTGTCGATGGTCCCCGGGGGAACTGCCCGGTCCTGTTTTTACCATCCCCGCTTGGATCTGCAGTCCCGTTCCTTCCTGCCGCCTACGGGCCCCCCAGGGTCCCTGCCTGACCTCGGTTTACGCGTGACCCTTCCACCCCCACCAGAGAGAGTATCAGGTGAAGTCGGAGGCCCAGTTGAAGTGACAATCACCCCAAAGTCCCAGAAGCCAGTGCTGCAAACTCTGGAGGCAGGACAGGATGGGGAAGCCCCAGGCCAGCCTGGGCTATGCACACAGTACACAGCAAAGCCTTATCAGGGTCAGCCTGGGGTTGGGCCTCAGTGGGTAGAGCCCTCGTTGGAACCGCTAAAGTCCTGGTTCCATCCGGAGCACCTCAGACCAGCACGGGAACATGCCCAGAGGATCAGAAGTTAAGTTTAGGCTAGCCTGGGCTACGGTATGGGAGCCTTTCTCAGAAGGAAAGCCCAAGGACACTCCTGTCATATACAGGGTATCCAAGACTAGGTCCGGAACACACTTAGGAGCTATTTCACAAATGGGGAAACAGACCGAGCAATCTCTCACTGTGACTCCACACACACTGCAGGATGGTGCTTGTGAAGTTCCTCTTCACATAGAGGTAGCCTAGGGGAAGAGAGGGCACACTGAGTTCCCAGGCACCTCCAACCCCGCAGGGCTAGTCCCTGGGCCCCCCCCCCCCCCCCCCCGCCGGCGGGCCCCCAGCCGGTTGAACCTGGACCAACTCTTGACGCTAAGATGGAAACTTCCCCACCAGCCAAATTCATGTTTTGGCCAGAGGCCACCAGCTGTCCAAGCCTTGGCCTGGGTCTCCACCCAAGAACAGAGTGCTTTCCCTTGGGAATGGTGGCCTCCAGGAGAGGTCAGGCTGGCTCCGGAGCAGGGGGAGATGGGTGGGTGGACAGGGCGGGACATTTTGCAAAGTCCCCAAGCCACAGCCTCTTGCTGTGTGACTGGAGCCTGCTGCATGGTCTCTCTGAGCCCCAAGTTTCACAACCACCCAGTCGGTCACCAGGCAGGCCGTGTGGTAGGGCGGGGGTGTTTCCTGGCGATGTGGGAAGATAGACACCAAAGAGGAACAAAGTCCAGGTAAACATGGGATGGGGGCCACAACTCAGGCCCTGCGTCCTCACTGAAATGGATCAAAGGGGCCTGCATACAGCTGTGCCTCTGCACCTCAGTTTCCCCATGTCTAGGCTCTGGTAGGACACCAAGTTCACCTCATAGTTGTCCCCCTGGCATGGGAAGTTCAGATGTTCAGCTGCTCCCTGTCTGTGTCCTCTGTCACATTCATCACTGGCCTGCATCTGGACAAGAGGACTTAGCACTGTAAACACCCCCAGCCTAGCCCTGAACTCAGCCTCCCGGACAGGAACACGACTGTGACCCTTCTCTGAAGGGGGTGGCACCAATAGTGCCGGTCTCCATGGAGCAGCTCCCTCATCCAACAAGATCCCAGTGGGGGATCGGCCTCCACTGGGGGTGGAGGATGCTGTAAAGAGAGGTGCGTGCCTGCATGCGTGTGTGCCCTGGTTCCCAGCTGAAGTGTGACTCAGAGCACGACAAGGCATCCGTCTTGGGGGGCTGTCAGGATAGATGGCACCTGTGTTTCTGGTGTGACCGCTTCCAGCCCTGAGCGCGGCAGCCACTTTGTGTCTCTGATGAGATTGCCGTGGGTGTTTGGAACAAACCATGTGTCCCAGAAATGGGGTCATAGGTGGGTGCGGGTCCTGTGTCCCACCTTCTGTTCTGGTCCCGCCTGCTGGTGTCAGCTCCACCCCTGCACCCCTATCTATCCCAGAGGAAGAGCCTGATCTTTCAAGTTGCTGTTGCTAGGGCAACCATTTTATGAGCGTCCACATGGTGGGCACATGTGTGTGTCCTGCTCCCATGTGTCTGCCTGCCCCACCCCCAGTCACGGCTGGGCCGGGTGAGCAGAGGTGGCCACATGGTGACTGGTGACAGCTTCATGGTGGCTGGCCCAGTAGGGGTGGGCTTTGGCCAGCTGTGTGTGCAAGAGGGACCTGGTCTGCCATACCAGCACCCTATGTGTGTCATATGTGTGTCTGCGGGAGCTGTGGGCTTTTCTTGCACATGTTGCATGTTGTGCTAGTGTGTCAGTGTGGACCTTTGCACCAGTGATGAATGTGACAGAGGACACAGACAGGGAGCAGCTGTATTGTTCGTGTAAATTGGCCAATGTGAGTCTGTGTGTGTGAACCAGCAGCTGGCTGTATCGGAATTGGGTGTCTGTAAATGAGCCTCAGGGGAGATCCTCTGTGTGCGGGCCAAGAAGAGTGTGTGTGGGTGTGTGTGCATGCACACACATGCCCACACGTGGAGCAGGAGCGTGTGTAAAGTCAGTGTGCGTCCAGTGTCTATGGGACCTACAGCTGAGTGTCCTGCCACCAAACATGTATGTGCATGTATGGCTAGTGCACAGCTCACCGGTGTCTAACATCCTTTCCAAACTTCCCAACCCATACCCTCACCCTATCTCCTCTGTGCCAGGTCTTCGCCTATCTTCCCCACCCACGCCCTCGCCCCATTTCCCCCGTGCCACACCCTCGCCCCATCTCCCCTGGTGCCAGGTCCTCGCCCATGTCCCTCTTGCCATGCCCTCGCCCCATCTCCCCAGTGCCACGCCCTGACTCTGTCTCCCCCATGACAGGCCTGTCTCCCCCATGACAGGCCTTCACCCATCTCCCCCTTACCAGGCCCTTGCCCATCTCCCCGCTCCTGCAGCATGCCCTCACCCCTGGACAAATCACTTGGAAGCCAAAGACACAAGGAGGAGTCACTGCCTCAGGTCTCAGAGCACACAGGGCACAGGTGACTTTCAGAAGTCTGCTATTCTGACCCACGGAGTCAAACCCACATTACTCCCTGCACCCCACACGCACATGCGCACACACTCCACCGGCATGGGGGGGGGATCCCCAGCACAGGCCCTGGGCAAGGGGTGGGATTGTTTGGGGGCTTGGTCATGAAAAGGCTTCTGGGATAAGTTGACGTTAAGTCAACCCACCTACCCACACCAAGCGGTGGCAGCCAAGGGTGCAGTGAAGGAGCCGGCTCTGGATGTCGAGGGCGGGACCTCAGGGTAGTGGTTTCTCGGCAACTGGGTGTGGAGGGGGCGTGGTCACAGCATCCCTCACCCCGCCCCCGCCTGCCCTGCCCCTGAGTCTCCACTAGGGAGCGCTCGCGAGTCGCATGTGGTGGAGTAGGGTGTGGTGGACTTCAGTGATGGGGTCCGGGATGGGGTGGTGGGATGCTTTGGGGGAAACCGTCAGTGAGAAATGGGGTTCCTCACGGGACTCTGAGGCGCAGGGTGACGGGAAGCGACGATGGGTGTGGTTCACTGAGGACCACGGAATCTTGGGCAGTACTCATAACCCAGGATGCCTGAGCAGAGACCTTGAACCCAGTTTCCCTGGGAAGGCTTCTTGGGGGCAGACAGAGGAATGGGAAAGACTCGTGGGGGGATCATGAGTGGGTGCAGAGTGGCCTTTGGCTGACCAGACGGACGTCCTGGGACTCTAGGTTACAACGTAGATGGCCACAGAGCACTGGGGACAGCAATTTGGAGGGCATCCGATGCTCTAGGGGTTCACCCTCGTGGGAAGTCTTAGGGAGTCTAGGTGGGGGATTTGGGAACATGGGGAAGGGGTGCGCAAAGTTAGTGTGTACTAGATTTGAGGCGCAAAGTCTCGGATGAAGGAGAGTCCCGGGGAAGTCGATAGATCGATCGGTGTGGCCGTCTAGGGCCTCCCGCGTTCCTGCCACCTGCTCTCCCGGCGCGCCCCTCCGGCTGTGGGCGGGATGAGGGCGGCTCCCAAGCCCGGGAAACCTTACGCCACGCCCACGTCCACGCCTCCGGGAAGGCCACGCCCCCTCTAGCCCAGCCGGCCTGAGCGGTGCGCGGCGGGAGCGGAGGGAGAGCGCGAGGTGGCTCCGTCCGTGCGCCCCGCGCTCCCCGCGTGGCCCCGCGTCCCGAGCGCGCTCCAGCCTCCCACGCGTGCCTCCCCAGGGTTTACTGAGCCCGGGGAAGCCAGAGAGAGAGAGGACAGGGGGGGAACCCCATGGCCCGGCCCGCGTCCCGCACCCTGCGCGGTGGCCTCCTCCGGCACGGGGTCCCCGGGTCGCCTTGGGTCCCCGCGATCCGGATGGCACACGCAGTGGCTGGGGCCGGGCCGGGCTCGGGTGGTCGGAGAAGTCACCACTGACAGGGTCATCTGGAGACCCCGACAGGTAAGCTGAGTTCCGGGACCTAATGCGGTGGGGGGGGAGTCCCCGAGGTCCCCCTCCCGGGTTACCGCGGGGTTCCGTACCCGACGGGGCGCGTTCCTGGCTCCTGCGTCCTCGGTTCCTGTGCTAAGCTGCTGGACCCCCGGACCCCTGTGAGCGCTCCGTCAGTCAGGGAGGATGGAGAGGTGACATCGAGATCGCAGTGCGTCCCAGGAGGGGGCCCAGCCGCGGCGCAAGCCCGCGGCGCACAGAAGTAAACACATCAGGGGCGCGTTCGCTGCGTGCCCGGGGACACCGTGTCCTCCCCGGTAAGGGCCGGGCTGCTGGGCTCCTGAGTCGCTGCTCAGCCACAAGAGGGCGTGGGGCTCTTTGGAGGAGGGGGGGTCCCTTAAGGGCAAAGCTCAGACTGGAAACCGTGTATGTGTTCCCCACTTTCTGAGTTCTTGCTCCAGATTACTCCCGGATAATTCGGTTTATGGGTGAGAAGTCATCCGGTCCAGGGTTGCTGTAGAGTGGGCATACTTCAGGTGGGACCAGAGGCACAAATCGTGAAGCCCAGGCTGGATGCTGAGATGCGGATTTGGGGGCCTTGGTGGGGTGGTTGCCACTTGCCTGACACAGTGGTTGGGTGGGGGCTGTGCTGGACACTGGACGCCTGGGTTTCCATCCAGCCTCCTTCCCTAGGCCTCACATCCCTGATGTTCTGGGACACCCATTGTGTGCTAGCGCCCGGGGCGTGCCGGGCAGGATGTCAGTGGAGGGCAGATTCCAGCCTGACCAGCTCGTCCCACTCCAGCCCCTTGCCCCGGGCAGGACACCCCTTCCCGCTCTTTCATCCGGGGGACTTCTGAGGGTCCCAGTCCCTAGCCGGCTCCAAACCCCTAGGCAATCACAAAGGGCTGACTGTGCAGTGGAGTGAAAAACAAATGCTCCCCTCAGCCGGATATCCCCCCAGCCAAACACACACATCCTAGCCAAGCACCCCTCAGCAGGGCAACCCCACAGCTAGACACTCCCCTCAACTGCGCACACCCCACAGCCAGGCACATCCCACAGCCGGGCACCCCACAGCCAGGTTCCCCACAACCAGGCTCCCCTCAGTCGGGCACACTCCACAGCCAGATACCCCCTCAGTCGGATATCCACTCAGTCAAATAAACACACCCTAACCTAGCACCCCTCAGCAGGGCACACCCCACAGCCAGGCACCCCCAAGTTGGGCACCCCTCCCCCAGCCAAATACACACACTCTAGCTGAGCACCCCACAGCCAGGCACTCCTCAGCTGGGCACACCCCACAGTCAGGCATCCCCCCCTTCAGCCGGGAACACCCCACAGTCAGGCACCCCACCCCCTCAGCCGGGCACACCGCACAGCCAGACACCCCTCAGTCGGGCACACCCCACAGTCAGGCATCCCCCTTCAGCCAGGAACATTCCCAGTCGGGTACCGCCCCAAACCCGGTATTCCTTCAGCCGGGCATCCTGTCTGAAACGCCACCACCATGTTCTCAGAATTAAATAAAAACCCAACAAAGCTAGGCACCAAAACAAAACCCAGAGATGCTCCGACAGATGTGAGCCCTGTGGGCTGTCCTTAGAAGCAGCAACACTGCCTTCCACGGACACGGGCACCTGTGACAGGGACTGGCCAGGTGGGAGGCTCAGGGAAGACTTCTTGAAGGAGGGCACTACAGCTGCGGAAAGCTTGGCTCGCGTGGGGACAATCAGGATGAGGAGAAAATGTTCTGGAAGGTTGGCCGGGGAAGCATGGGGAGCAGGTGTGGCGCCTTGAGCTGTCCTCACTGCTACTCAGGAGCTGGAGGCAGGGGATCAGGGGCTCAAGGTCAGCCTAAGGCCACACAAGGTCCAGCCTGGGCCACATTGACTCAAACGAGAAGAAGCACAGAGAAAAGGTTAGAAATAAGTCGATGAAAGCAGAGTGCTCCCTGGGGTTCCTGAGCCAGGGGTCGACGCCCCTGCATCCGCCTTGCGCAAACACGCGTATTTAAAGTAATGAGGATAATTCAAGAGGAAAAAGCTCCGAGCGCCGGCTCCCGTCTTGGGAAACTGAGGTACGGAGAACCGATGCTTTCATCTAGGACGTGAGACCAAACCTTGGATTTGGGAAGAAGGGAGAGGGCAGGTAGCCGCGGAGCCTGCCTCAGTTTCCTTTCCAAGCCAGATGGTCAGACTGGGACGGAGCGGGGGGGGGGGGGCCCTTGCCGTCTTTGCGCCCCGCGCCAGCGGCTCAGCCCGCATTAGCCTGATCCGGTTATCCGCGAGGCATGCGCACAGCCAGCCCTGGGAGACGGGGTGGGGGGCGCTGTGTGTCTGCGGTGACAGCCCACCCCTGTGGTCCTGACTGCGTGGTGTCGGGGGTGGGGTGGCGCACTACCCAGCAGAGATCGCAGAGTCACCGAGGGCCCTCAATGTGCTGTGTTTAAACCCATGTGATGTGTGACGCTGAGCAGTCAGTGTCCTACGCTGACACCAGCTTGGCCACCGGAACCCATAGACTGACTCCACAGTTGCCCTCTGACCTACGCACTCACGCTTCTGCGGACCACAATAAGATGCTCCTGCAGACCACAATAAGATGAAATCTCTTGAAAATGGGGGGGGGGGGAACGTATTGAAATTGTGGCTTTAAAGTACAAGCAGGAGTTTGAACAAATCAGGCCTCACTCAGTCCCTGGGGCTGCAGCGGCCCTGAGTCCTTGCCTGCGCCCCCAAACCCCAAAGGGCACCCCAGACTGCGGCCCCCACAGCTCATCGGAACCAGCTGCGCTCTGCAGATGTTGTTGCTTTGCCCCCAGATGTGCGTCCCGCCGGCGGGTGGGGCCCTCAGAGGGAGGTGAGGACCGACCGAGCTCCTGGAGGCTTCAGTTTCCCCACAGACCAGAGGAAAAACTGTCAGTGCTGACAGGGAAACTAAGGCACAGACTTTGCCTAAAGCATATGTACAGAACCCCCCTCCTCGGGGCCCCAATGATTTTCTAAAATTGAATGACCCCCCCCAAACCGGAAGCGGTGGCACGCCACCCCAGCTCTCAGGAGGTAGAGGCAGGAGGCCAGCATGGGCTACCTGAGACCCTATGGATCACAGGGGAGTGAGGAGGCTGAGCGCCATGGGGCCCCAGGTCGTGCGCAACTCCCGTACACGAGTGGGTCTGCTGGACACCACTGCAGATGGGGAAACAGGCCTGAAGACAGAGACAGGAGGACGCGGTGACCACTGGGCCCTGTCCAGGAGTCTCTGCGTATCCACCTCATCCCCCAGTACCCCCTTCCGTGACAGACAAACCAGTCGGGTGACCCCGGACAGAGGGGCCATTGTTGACGGGTTCGAAGCTCCGCTGAGGGTCTACGGTCGGTCATCTCTGCCATCATGCTTTCTCATAGAGTCCACAGGGGGAAACAGAGGCGCAGCCCACTGTGGGGGGAACGGAGGCACAGCTCACGGGGGAAAGGGAGGAAACGGAGGTACAGCCCACGGAGGGAGGGGGACGACGACGGAGGAACAGCCCTTGGGGCTTAGGAAACGGATGCATAGTCCGGAGTTAGCGGGAAGGAGGTGGGGGTAATGGAGGTACAGCTGGGATGGGGGTGAGGAAGGCATACCAGGACAGAGACTCCACCACCGTAGACCGTGGACAGAGGTTAATTCCCGCCTGTGGGCGCCGGAGGACTCAGGTGTCGGGACTCAGGTTCCCGACACGTGCACTCAGCGCTCGGCCCTGGCATTCGGCTCCGGAGACCCCGGGCTAGCCTCGGCTACTGGGCAATAGCCGGGTCCTAGCAGTGGCATAGCCCGGACTACTACTGTAGCGTGCCCACCCTCCTCCTGCTCCCCGGCCTTTGCACTGCGGTGCAGGGATGTGCGCATGTATGGGCACCCGTACGGCTGTCCATTACGCACACACTCCTCCCGCCCAATAAATGTCAGCCGCGGAGAAACGCACGCGTTGTTTACTGAGAGGATGGACAGTGTACAGTCGGTGCTCAATGACGGGGGCGGGGGAGGGCAGGGTCCAAGGCGGACAGGAGGGACAGAGTTCGGGGTCAGCTCCACATAGTGGCCTGTGCTGGGGTGGGGCCATGCAAATCGAATGCAAGGGACTTCAGGCCTAAGCAGCTGGTTCTGGGTAAACTGGGGTGTGGTCCAATCCGGGTGGCGGATTATTACACACCTACTGTGTGCGGTAAACAGGAAGTATGGGTGCCCTGATGGAGGGGACATCCCCGAGGGGCTGGGATGGGCAGCCTTCCCGGACAGGATGCGGCTTGATATGGTAAACTGAGGCACGCAGTAAGTGACCAAGAGCAGACGAGATGCAGGACAGCCCCTCTCGCTAGCCACCTGCTGGGGGCACCTTCTGCTGCCTTCCTCTCCCTGCCTGGCCTGGTATCCGTTGCTAGGATACGCCAGGCGCCATCAGCCTCAGGGCCTTTGCACCCGCTGCTGCCCCGGAGATGGCCGCACACCCTCGCCCCCACCTGCCGGCGCCCACCACCCCGTGTCCCCGCAGGCCGAGGCCCAGGATGAGGCGCTGGAAGGCGGCGGCCCTGGTGTCGCTTGTCTGCAGCTCCCTGCTGTCGTTCTGGATGTGCCAGGAGGGTCTGCTGCTGGGCCACCGCCTGGGACCTGCGCTCGCACCGCTGCGACGCCCGCCACGCACCCTGGACGCGCGCCTCGCCCGCCTGGCGCAGTGTAAGCCCCGACCCAGAGGGGCCAGGGGGCGGGAACAGGAAGGGGCGGGCCACTTAGCTTCGGGGTGCAGTCTCATGTAGCCCAGGCTGGCCTCAGACCCTCGGAGTAGATCAGGATGCCCCTGACGTGATTCCCCTTGCTTCTGCCTCCTGAACCCCCTCCTCTCCGCGCACCCCTCGACTACAGATGGAGTGGGGAGCAATGGCAGCCAAGGCCAGGCTGGGACCACTTGGGAGCCTCGTGCAGCAAGGGGCGGAGCCCTCACCGGCCAATCGTTGTCTCCTTCTGGCCACAGCCCCAGCTCTAGCTATAACGGGGCGTCTCTAGCCACGCCTCCTCCGCAGCCCCAGGCGTGCGCATGCGCGAGGTGGAGGGGGAAAGGGCGGGGCCAGCTCTCACGGTCCAATCCTCTGTCTTCCTTTTCCCGCCACAGACCGAGCTCTGCTGCAGGGCGCCCCGGACGCGGTGGAGCTTCGAGAACTTTCCCCCGGGGTGGGG